CTGCTTCTGTGACAATGGCAAATCTTGATTTTTATTTGTTTATCAGTTCCGTATTCACAGTTTTACACAACATTTCAAATTGTCACTCAGTAGCACTCCTATGTTGTACTTAAATATTTACTAACTGTATCACAGTGCTTGGTTTGATGTTTTCACTCATATTCAAACTCTTATACTTTAATGCAAGATGAATTAACAATTTAAATACAAACACTTTAGTTCCTTCACCAAACAGCATCTCCTGATAAGTGACCACAGGTCAGTAGCATGTCACAGCATTTTAGATACAATGTAGACAAATCTCCTTTTCACATCTACATTCATTCCTGTTGTGTTTTTGACACACACCTGTTAAACTCTAAACTGTAGATTTTCTATATAAACAGGTTCTGAAAGAAACTGTTTTATTTACAGGCTGATATTTGCTTCATGTTTGTTTGTTTAAAAATACACAGTTGACTAAATCATATTAAAACGTTACCAATGGAATGGTTAAACACAGTAGCATTTCTAATCAAAGTTTTTTTCTGTAGCTAAGCTCAATCATAAACTACATAAAAAACTAAAGGATGGCACCACATTAGCTAGATTCATCATTTATAAGTTTTCCAAGTCATTGTGAATCCATAAAACAAAGAACCTCATGAATTTGGGAAAACTCACTACTAAGTCCTTTTGACACAGAGAGAGAGACAGAAAAGAGATAGCCACTGAGGTAGAGGTTAGCATTTTGATGCAAACCTCTACCTTTGAGTGATACAAATGCAAATGAAACCCACTGATTGAACATCGGCTTTAAGTGTCTGTCTTCAATGAAAAGATTCTTCAGCTAAGCTTAAGTTTCAGTGAGTGTCCTTCAGTATCTCAAGACAATAAAAAGCAAACACACATTCAACAACTAAACTGGCAGATGAAGGCTGTGGTGGCCTGTTTCTCTGCACTTTGACCAACCACTGAAGCTGCTGACTCAGAAAGGATCTCATTTTGTGCTTTCACCAAATATTTACTGTGCTAAGTGAAACACATTGTAACAGTCTTTGGTGGCTTGCCAAACCAACTTTATAGTTTATAGTTTGCCAACCAATTAAAATTCTGCCCTTAAAGGAAAAAAAAGATCAGAGTAAGACGAGTGAATGATAAGTACTTTCTGTTTCTCTGTAACTACCAATGAAAGATGCCAGACCACAGTAAATTGTAGCTTTTACTGATCACACCAAATCTAAGCAGATCTCTATATGTGTCCCTTTCTCGTATACACTTTAACAGCTCTTGTAAATTGTTTAAATATAAATGTTAGTCACACTAATAATGTAGTGTTATTACATTTTCCTTTTTTAGCATAGATTGAAAAACAGTGATGTCAGACCAGTTACTTGAGATTAAAACAGAGACAGGAAGTAAAGTCCTATCCATGCCTTTGCTTGAAAGCCTAAACACAACAATGCTTCCATGCTTCTGTGTCTCTTTGTGTGTTTCAGGTGAAGCAGCAGTTGAAAT